CGGAAGGCTGAGCGCTTAGGAGAGAGACTCGATCCCTGAAAGAGACTAAACCAGCAAACACAACTCTGATTCTGTGAGTTAGCACGTGTAGAGGGATGTCTTCCTTCCCGTGTGCGGGAGGTCAGTGAGCTGTGCAAAAGGGGCAGTAGGCTCTTTGCATCTCACGCGGTGTGGAAACTGCGCCCTGCTACACCCGCTCCTTTTCACCAGCTGTCTCTACCAGGACCCTAAAAAAGGATGCGGTGGGTGGTGGGAAGGGGCGCGGGCAGGTCATGGTCTTCTAATTTGTCTTTAAATATGTTTCACATTAAGGCAAAGGGGTGCAGGGTGTGAGGAGCGGCTGCGTGGGTGGGTACCGGGAGAGGGCACGGAGGCCCGCGTGGCCGGCAGCCCCAGGGTCAGCCCTGCACCCCGGTGGGGAGAACGTGGCGAGGGCCCGGGAACCCTGCAGGTTCTCCGAGGGGCCCTGACGTGGAACTTTATATTTTCCTCATGGAAGTGCATGTAGAAAGGTTAGGATGGCACTGACTTTTCTTCAAATTGAGATTTTATTAGTTGATTAGTTGTAATTTTGAAAATATTTTTATTCTGAAAATGAGTTTTTTCCACAGTAATGCAATTCATTTCAAAATGAGCTCATTTTCTGGCTTTTCCACAAAGGACAGTTGAAACACTTAAGGCAAGATTCACTTATTCATCTCCATTTAGGAAAGGAGAAAAATAACAGACTTCAGGTATTGGTTAAGGTTGACAAAATGCGAGAAAGCCCCTTTTTCCTTTCTTTCTGTCTTTTTTTCTGGTAGCCTCCTGTGCAGAAGCTTTACATTACTAGTGATGTTTTTATAGTAAGACACTTTTGTTTTGACTTTCTTTAATTTTTAAATTTAAAGGCACACAATAAAGCTTAATGCATTTATTAAAATATACACATTTTGATAAATTTAGAATTTTCCTTAGTTTCTTGAGAAATTGATATATTGTCAACACCACAGTCATTTGAAAATAAAACACACTCTAACACGTCTGCACATTGTTTCTGTATCATGGTACACTCCATCCACAGTGCACCAGCGGGAACTGAAAATCACACAACAGACGGACTGACAGATACAGCAACTTCATATTAAACAAGTGGAGAACAACACGAGAAATCACCATCTGCAAAATGCAAGTTGCACTGCTCAAGGACCAGACAGAAAAGAAACAAGTTAGTACAATTTACAAGCTGTATTTATAACTTTGGATATGATTTAGACAGTAACATTTCTTTTCCACAGTGAGAGAAGCGAGGATGTGGGGCCTGTGGTGGGTGATGTGGGGCCCGTGGTGGGTGGTGTGACTTCGTGCAATGAGGACCCAGCTGCTCTCCCAAACCCGCCCCTCCACCTGCCCAGGTGGCCCCGTGTCTGTGCCCAGCCCAGCATTAGAAGAGCCCTGTTTGGGAAGCAGGGTTGTGATTTCCAGTGTAAATTCTCATCTCCAGGGGAGTGAGACCAGCGTGTCAGCAGATGTGTGTGGAATGGCTTCTCTCTCCCACTATCAGAGTGAACAGCTTTTAAAGGTCTCACATCTGGCAAAATTCACATGACTCAGGACCCTCTCTAGCCAATGTCACCTATGTCAATGTCAGGAAAACGTAATGGGAAAAAAACAGGCACAGAAGAAGTCCCTAACATGACCCCGGGCTACTCCCACTTTCTCCTCCTGCCACAGCCCTCTTCCTCCCCTCTGCATGGACAGCACTAAACGTTCTCAGAACTGGGACTTCAGGACAGTCGTGTGTTTCCGTGTGTGTCCAGTGCTGCTCTGTGACTTCTAATACTGTTGTTGCTGGCAAGGCAGAAGACATACTCACTTTTGATGGGCTTTAAAACTTCCACTAATCCCTTTTGGGCTAAGTCCTAAAAAAACCCACTATTTTCTTGGAAAAGTAATTTTGGCCAAAGGCGCTGCCTGTGTGTCCCAGACAGATGCGTTGTGGCACTCAGGCAGGGCGAGAAGAGGAAAGCAGTATGGAAAGGAAGTTGTTCCTGAGGAGGAAAGAAAATTAAAACAGCCTTTCTTCTGAGAGTCTTAGAAAATTAAGGGGCAAGTGAGTAACAATCTCGCCCGTGGAGGGGCTTCCGTCCCCCTCACTCCGGGTAAGAGAGACCCCAGCAGACTGCTGCCTGAATGCAGTGGGGCTGCATTGTGGCCTAATTACAAACACTGGCCCTCACGGACAGACCACTCTGCTTACCTGCGGCAGTCTTTCCTGGGGTCTCCAGGGAGCTCCTGCAGACACACGGGCCTGCAGTGCAGGGAGGGAGGTACACTTATGCTGGGGAAGCAGAGCTCCCTGGTGAGGTTTGTTCCAAACACACAAACACCAGTGCTGCTGTTTGCTCTGCTCCCTTCCCTCCCATGGGGAATTAGGGCTGCTCTGGGCTCTTGCTGACCTCAATCCCAGAGTGGGTGGCCACTTGCAGCCTGGACTCAGAAAGCAGACCCAGCTCTGGCCTCATGCATTTCCTGGCTTCTGACCTCTCCACAAGATATTCTAACCTAAGACATAAAATTAGGTAAAACCCTGCCTGATGCTCTGGGGACTTCCCTGTGATGACTTGGGGCCCTGGTAAAACCTGGTGGTGAGGGTACCTAAATCCTCTCTATTCTTCCAGGTGTATTTTCATACTGATGTGGCTTCTGTTTTTTTTTTTTTTTTTTTCCAGAGACAGGGTCTCACTGGCTCAGTCACCCACACTGGGGTACAGTGGCTGCATCACAGCTCACTGCAGCCTTGAACTCTTGGGCCCCAGCCTTCCTCCCCAGATAGCCTCCCCAGTAGCTGGGACTGCAGCTGTGCACCCCACCTGCTAATTTTTTTACTTTTTGATTTTTTGTAGAGGTGGGGTCTTATGATGTTGCCCAGTTTGGTAGCTTTTGTTTTGAGTGCAGAGAAGAGGCAATGCCTTTAAAGCAGCCTTCCAATAAGTGCCATTTAAAGGGTGTCAGGGCCTATTTTTCAGGCCAGGGGCTGTATCTTTATGGTTTAGGGGAGAGAAAGCACAGCACTGTCAAGCATTACATTAAAATGACAAAATGACCTCAGGAAACCAGAGCTCTAAATAATTAATATTGAGGAATATAAAAGAAGATATAGAAAATTGTGGTTTGAAATTAATGGGATACATTGGCTATAGGTGTAATATGAAATTTATTTAAAGGATATTTAAAAAAAACTAGTTTCAGTTGATCTGTTATGTTAAAGCTCTGTGTACCGTCATGAGGACTTGTCAAGTTTGGTTTTTTCTGCATTTATGAAGCTCAAGTGCTGCTCACCCAGACTGTGGGCCCCAAGGGCAGGGGTCCCCCCCTTTGCATTTCCATCACTCAGTACTTGGTATATTCTTAGTGTCAGTTGTGTAGAAATAGGGACTTCTTCCGCCTCCTCCTAACCCTAAAGTATGCCAAGATGGCCTGACCTTGACCTTTAAGGCAGAACAGACTTAAATGTTAGGTGACAGGTTCTGGAAACTTTTGGCTTAACAATAAATCCAGGAGAGGAAGGGCAAGGAATATGCTGTCTTGCCCCGACTTTCAGAAAACTTACACAGGGTTTTGCTCGACTCAAGCTGTGGCCCATGAGTGTGATGCGGCTCAGTGCAGACCCGGGGACCCTGCGACCCAGGAGCAGCAGGAGCCCATGTGCCCTTGCCTCCTGCAAATCCCCTCATCCGTCTGTTTCTGAGAAAATTCTTTTAAGAATCTCTCTTACGATCCTAATTTAAACCTTACCGGGTAGGTATTTCTCTGGGATTCAGTACAACTGTTGTGGGAAATAACCAAAAAAAAAAAAAAAAAAAAATACACTTCTAAAAGTGAGCTGCCCCCAGGAAGGAGTTCAGAAGTGAAACATGATCTCAGGGGTGCAATCACCTAGGTAGCTGCCCTAAGACATTTTTTATTCTCAGAGCAGCTGCCACCAGTCAAGTGGCTGCACATCTCAGTTACAGAATTTATAACTTAGAAATATGGACTAGAACTCACAATGTGATCTCAGTGGCTGGGTCACTTCTCCTTGTACAGATTTTTATCTGATTATGAGACAAACAGCCTCCTTCTTCAAGGCATAGCAGTGCCATGAAATCATGCCCTACCTTTGCCCTCTTCCCTCATATCAGCAGGAGCTTAGAGTCTGTGTAAGGGGAGGCATGACAGAGGGTTACTTTCTGTCAATGGCCTTCACCGCAAGAGCTTATGTTACTTTTTTCTGGGCTTTTCAGTAGAGCGTGGATGGTACTTCTCACTGCACTATTGGGTCTCACGACTTCATGGAGAATCTGAAGCCTTTGGGGAAATGGTCTCGGAGTCCCTGGCCTTGGCTGGAGCCTTAAATTATAGTTTGGACTGGTGAATCAAGAGAAGCATGTGTCTTCTCCATGAACTATTTTGGGAGAGATTTCAAGACAAAATGTTGGTTGTTAAGGAAGTGCCAGTGGCCACCTGCTCGCCCTGACCTGGGGCACTGGCACCCAGCACAGCACACTGAGGACAAGCTTAGCCCTCGTGTCTCAGGTGGTTTAGATGCTGCCTGTTTACCCACAGCCCCCACCCCCTGACTGTGGCACACCCCCAGGAGAAAGTGCAGCCTTAGTGGGGTCCAAAATGTCTGCTCCTAGCTTCTTGGGGTCTTGATAAGCAGCAGAAAGATTCTACCAGCAAAGCAAAGGCCTAGCAAACGTATGCAACTGTCAGCTCCGGTGGTTGCACCTAAGACAGAACGTTGAGTAGCCTCTTTGTTGAGTTTCTTTTTATAAGAGAACCAGTTAGGGACCCAGGTCAAGGCCTTCTACAGAACTACCCTGAAGAGCAAAAGTGGTAAATGACAGGCTATGACGGGGAACTGACTTCAGGGAAGGCTGGATCTCTGAAATGAAAGCCAGGGAAGTGTCACCTTTCAGCCCGCAGGTGATGGTACTGAAAATCAGCTATCATTTGTACCGTCCTGTGCGCTCACCCTACTCTGGAGAGTAATCCAGCTCATCGTTTGCGATCAGGGCCTCCGAGTTCTGTCTGTGTTTGCTTTTGCTCTTGGCTTTGCTGCCTGCCCGGCCGCTTGTCTTCCCCTCTGACATCTGTTGGTAGGAGAAGCCTTTGTCTTCGGCCGGCCCACCCCAGTTCTCCTGGCTCTCGCCCTCTGTGGCGTAGGAGAAGCCTTCCTCCACTGAGAAGGGATCGTCCACATCGTAGCGCTGGTACGTGCTTTGGTGCAGGGCCTCCTCGCGGGCGCTGATTTCCAGGGTGCTGTTCCAGACGCCGTACCCAAAATAAATGAGCATACCTAGAGGGGCAGAGGAGGCACAGGTGAATAAGCAATTGTTTGGGATCCGTGGGTCTGGCAGGGAGGTGAAATGAGTCCTGGAGGAGATGTGTTTCCTTTGATCTGAACAGTGTGCACTCAGAACATAGACTAGATGCCATTTAAAAATTCGGGATCTTGCATTAAGCCACCCATATTCACAGCCTTTCCTAAAAAATCAAAAGGTCTGACAACACTTTGTCCACATTCCTACAGGGGAGTTCTTGGCTGGAAGTGAGAACCAGCTGTCTCCTCAGTCAGGAGATGGCTCTGGGTGCCCCTTCCTCACCCCATGTTGAGGTGCTGCACTCATGTGGCTGCCAGCCAGGAATCTGCATTTTCTGCCCCGGGCTACATATTTATGAATGCATAACAGCATATCCCAGCCTTCTCATAACAGTTATCATCCCACCTGTACCCAGGGCTCACCTCCTATCTCCCCACTTAGCACCATACGCCCACATGTCACCTCTGATTTTCCTGCCTGTGTCTCCTTCACGGTAGAAATGGTGTCACTGCTCCCCCCTCCCCCCCCAGCTGCCCATTTCCTCCTGTGCCCTGGAACAGCTGCTGCAGGGATCTGCACAGGGTGGTACCACACAATAGTCGGCTCTTAGTGTTTTTGACTGACTAAGCAGCCTGGTGAGCAGGGAGAGCTCAGCGTGCCCTCTCTGTACTGTCCTTCCAACCAAAGGGAAGCAGATCACCTCTCTAGTTACCACTAGCATTAGTGCGGGACAATGCTTCATTTCTAGGAAATGAAATCCCATTTTTTGGAATAAAATATGAAAATCGTTTGAGAGTCCTCAGTTTCTACCTTGAACAGCCCGTGAGGGTTCAGGGAGAGCTGAGAACCATAGCTTGGAGGGCACAGGGCAGGACAAGTGAGCACGTGGGCCCTGGGTTCAGATCCTGCCTTCATAACCTGCAGCCACGTGACGCTGGCCCTGCTCTTTCCAACCCTGTGCCTCAGTGTTCTCTGCTGCACAACCAGGAGAGGCGTGGCAGCCCTCACCCAAGGGTCAGCCCTCCCCCAAGGGGCGCCTTCTCCCTCCACCACCGCCCCGCAGCCCTTCCTCCACGGCGGAGGCAGCCTTCATCCTCGACAGTGCAGCAGCCCTCCCCCATTCCTGCCCCCCTTCCCCATAGCACCACCTGAGCAGGCAGTAAGAGAAGCCGTGGTTCTCAGCCCCGCTTCCCTGGGAGCCACCTGGGGTGTTTCTGAGCACCTCTGACACCCCAGCCACTGCCCTGGGACTCTGATTTAACTTGTCTGCAGTGTGACCCCCGCAAGTGTGCTGTGGTGCCTCCTAGCCGGCCCGCAGCAGAGAGGCCCAGGTGCCGAGCTGCGCTGGCACGTGTGCTCTCTCCGCTTGGCAGTGCCGCAGCCGGGCCACTGGTGTCCACCCAGTTATGCAACCTTCCTGCTGGCCCCAATGCCCTCTTCTGAGCGACACCACCCACTCTGACGTTGCTGACCCTGCAGACATCTGCTGAGCTGTTTGCTCAGACACACGTCACTCCTGCTTTACTGACCCGTGCTGGAGAAATCTCACTCCCTTTGGAGTTGAAGTCTGTTCAAGCTCGGATTTCCCCCTCCTTTTCTCAAATGGCTTTCTCTGCTACCCCCCAGTGCAATCAACTTCCCAGGAGCCAAAATAAGCAGAGGCTTATTGTCCTAATTGATGATAAATCCTAGAGCTAATTGCCTGCAGATGTAGCTATTACTTCTCAGCAGTGACCTCATCCTTCAGGGCCTGGGCATTCACTCTTTCCTGTCTGGTGGGGTGGCCGTGGGGTAGCTGTCAGCCTCGTGCAGAGCAAGGCCTCGCAGTGAGGCCCCTTCCCAGCTACTGCTGCTCTGACTGTGCCTCTGTGGGGAGCATGTTCCGGACTGAGGGTGAGTCTCCGGCGACTGAGGATGCCCAGCGGGCATACACCTGTGTGCAGCTCTGCTTTCTGCTGCTTTCTCTGGGTCCCCAGCAGGTGTCACGTTCTAGGTCCCACTCCTGCTTGGTGTCTACTACCCAGGCTTTTCCTCTCTCCTTCTCTGACCCTATTTAAAGATAAGTTACTTCTCTAATGAACCTAATACCATTTTTTTTTCCTTCTAACTTCTCTCCTCTGCCACAACTTCTCACCTCTTAGTCGCTGCTTTGATATGGATTCCAGCAGACCCCCCCCGCCCCCCCAAATTGTTCAGGTAGCAGGCAGATACATGTCCTGGAGCTCTCCTAAGAACCTTGGTGTGACTGCTCACAGAGCCCTTGCTATCTGGAGCTGGGGAGGGCTCTGCAGGTCCACATGGCCCTGCTTTACAGAAGCAGAAACAGAGGCTGGGAAAGGCTGAGAGGCCTGAGTGTGTGAGGCACAGAGCCAGCCTGTCACGTGGAGAGAGACTGCTTGGTGTCCAGCCCTTGCACCTTCTCCCCACAAGCCAGCTCATACTGTCCTTGCTGCAGCTGGTGTTCGGGAGAGCTGAGTGTTTGGTCTCTGTTCTGTGGGAGTGGCCAGGTCAGGAGGGAACGTGTGTACACACACATGCACACATACAGGGCACACAGGCACATGCACGCACACATATAGGGCATACACACAAGCACATGTACACACATGCACTCGCAGGGCACACATGCACACACATGTATGCACACGTGCATATACACACCTCATGCACACAAGAAGCACACAGTGTGCATGCACACACACACCACATACGCTCACACACATGCTGATTATGACTGCTCTGGGCCAGTGACCCTGGAAGCCATCCCATAAATATTTGTGGGTCTGGTAGAGCTCACTCTGAGCACCGATGGTTTCACAGGTGTGTCATTCTGTCTGTGAAAGCACATTTCACACATGGGAGCAGTGAATCAGGAGGCAACTGTCTTCCTCAGTCGACTGGCAAGGGCGCACCCCAGTCATTGGCTTTCTCTCTGTGACTCAGGAAAAGTGGTGTGAGCCTGAGAAAAACTGGAGAAAAGGAAAATGAAGAGGAACAAAGAAACAGAGGAACAAACGGGGGATGGGGGAAGCACCATCTGTCTCACGTAAACAAGGGCTCCATGTGAGCCAGTGAACACTGCTACGGGCCTCCCTGTGAGCCAGTGAACACTGCTATGGGCCTCCCTGTGGGAGGGGGATTTGCTTCCCGCTCCTTTTCTCAGCTGGCTTAGAGAGCCAGGCCTGAGGTAGTTCCGAAAAATCTCCAGGGTTTCTGGGAATTCTGAGTCATGTAAGCTGAAAGTCACAGGACACCTCTGAGGGCTAAGAGCCACAGTAGCGTCATCTGGGGTGCACCTTTCTCCTGGGGAGTGCAGGATGTTGCTGAGGGTGACCTGCTTAGTTCAAGCTGTTCGGGGAGGAGTGTGTGTGACTTCTCACATTTCACAGACAGGAAGCTGAAGCACAGCAGAGACAAGGGATTGTCCGCAGAACACCGTGGGTGGGTGGGGATCCTCAGGGCTGTCTGCCTGCTGATGGGGAAGGGCTTTTATCTCTCTGATCTTGCCTGTCTACCAGGGATGGGGACAACTTTGCTTCCCTTTTTGTTTTGAAGAATCAGAAACCTACACAGAAGGGGTGAGAATTGAATGGTGAAGCCCACGGAGTCCTCACGTGCTGCCCACACCCCAGCCCTGCCACTGTCTTTCTGGGAGACCCTTTTATCCTCGCTTTCATGTGAGTGCTTCAGTGAGTGTCTCTAAAAAAAACTAGTATCATTAGCACATCTAAAAATTAATATTTCTTGATATTATCTGATATCCAGTAGTAGTAAAATTTCTCTTAATTACTACTTACATGGGGGAAGCTTTTCACCTTATGAGGCTACACATTTATTCCAGTGATCCAGTCAGTGCTAACAACAGTTTTTTGGGCACCATTATTTAAGATTGTCACGGGATTGGCACCATATTCTCTTGTAAACCATTATAGATGGCAAAGTTTTATCTTTTGAGGTAGCCTTTATTTTGTCATAAGCTAGAGGTCACTTGGAACTAAGCCTCAAGAGTAAGATGCCAATTAATAAATACTATTACTTATTTTGCTGTTCCTTAAAAACAGAAGATTTAGATCCATTGCTTTGGAGTTATGCATTTATATCTGCGATAAATTAAAGGTGCTTGTGATGTTAAGCAGTGCTGGAGCCAGCTTTTATGCTGTTGTAGGGTCCTGGGGGGAGTTATTTGTTTAGTGGGTGGGCCATGTTGGGGTGCCTGGTGTGGCCAGGACAGTGACTAGTTTGTTAGCAGGAAACACAGAGGTGTATCTGTATCTTAACAACAGACATTGTTGGGCTGGGCACTCAGGCTCTACGTGCCAGCCCTGATCAAAGGTAGCGGCAATGAGTTCTGTGAGCATCTGTTTAGGATGAAGAGAAATATTCAAAAGGGTTTAAGTGTGTGTTCTTTTGTGTGGGCGTATAATTGTTTATCTGTTGGTTTTATATTAGTACTGAGTACATTGGATTCTTGCTTTTCCATTCTTATGAAACTTTGCTAAGAACAATGTTCTTCAACTCCATCCAGGTAAACACAAAAGATGCAAAGTCTCCAACTTTCTTATGGCTGAATAGTATTCCATGGTACAGGGGTGGAGTGGGGAGGGACGTGGGAGGGGAGTGGTGAGCTCTCACCTGATGTGCACAATGTGAGGGTGTTCAGCGCACCTGGTGAGGGGCTCAGCTACAACTGGGATTTTACCTAACAAACACAAACAATATAACCTAATTGTCTACACCCTCATATTAATCTGAAATAATAAATATTCAAAGGGAGGCTTTGGCTCCTTTTCCCCAGAGTTCCTTGGTGGGAAAGGTGCCTGTGGGTGTTCAGGCTGGACAAGAGGAGAAATCACGCCTTAACAATTGGA